AAACGCTAACTGCTCGGGGTAGGTTTGGAGGAGAAGCAAAATCTCCAAGAAAAATTCCACCGAGAAAAAGCTTCCCTTCATGCTGCCTTTCATTTCAAATTAAATAAGTGCAGCTATAAAACGTTGCTTAAGAGGGGCCGATCTAGAGAATTCGGTTACCGTGATTGAAATATCTCCAAACACTCCACATGTCCGCTAGCTCGTAATCGCTTATAGGACCAGCCGTCTATGTACAGTGCAAAATTGTACAGCGTGCTCTAACGGTAGAGACGGTGATTGCGTGAGTTCGGGCACAGTGTATTTACTCACTTGTAAAGCATGTGGGCACGAATACGTTGGCAAAACGAGAAGACCACTCTGTTTCCGGATAAAAGGACATCTTTTTGGTAAGTATAAAGTTAATCTGAATATAACTTCAATGATGCTGAGATATTTGCAAAACTCAGGACCGCAGGTGTATGCGGTGGAGAACGAACGCGCTATTGTCCTTTCTGGGGAGTAACGCGTTCACCACCACACCATGCGGGTCCTTCGTTTCGCCTGTCTCTCAGCTAGTTCTATCGATCTTTTTCCATCAGCAATCACCCGTCAGTGGGATTGATCTGGGGGGCCCAAATCGGTAACGAACCCAGTTAAGCTGAGGTCGCAGTTATAATCACAATTTTAACTTATTATTTACTGCCTACTTTTTTTAAACGCCGTTGAAAGTATAATATCCGATCCGGAAAGGACAATAGCGCGTTCGTTTCCCACCGCATACAACTGCGGTCAGGAGTTTTGCAAATATCTCAGCATCATTGAAGTTATATTTCGCAATGTATACCTTGCCGTTAAAAAAATAGGCAGTAAATAATAAGTTAAAATTGTGATCAATCCAAATACTTTAATAGGCGCATACAGAGCACAGAGGTGTAGCGGGAAAGATTTTGAACTAAAAGTCACCATCCTCGCACAGGAATCCAAGATATCAGCTCGTGAAACTCTTGGAGCGTTTTGGGTAAATTCCAGGAATCCAAAAGTGAACCACAGGTGGAAGGTGTCTTGTTTTCACGAGTGACCTCGTACCATATCTCAGCCTGATTTTTTGACTCGACCCAGGCACATTCCTCACCCATGTAGGACTCTGTGTGGTTGATCCCCACCAAATAATTGAAAGCCTTACAAAGTACCACACGGTGAGTGTGTAAGAAAAGCCATTTATCGTTCGAACAGAAATTTTTTATCAAATTTTGTCTGCTGAGGTTATGAGAGCGCTTGGTCGAATAGAATGTTGGTCTACTTAACCCTTCCAGGCTCTAAAGAAGGCGAAGCCGCCGAAACACCAACAAAACGATGCTGAGCTCAGTGGAAGGTTATTCTTACAGCATTTATTCATTCACAATAAATGCTCCATTTAGGCTTCACGTGGAATGCTCAATAGAATTCTCATAGAGAACGATAAGTGTGTGACGAATCTGTTTCACTTCCAATGCGATTGAATATTATCTATCTTGGTTTTTCCGTTGAAGTTATGTTGCTGTTCGGATGACTAGGTTGAACTTGGTCTCCACAGGCTCTGAAGATTGCGAAATCCACAAGAACGTCAGCTGTTTTAAATGAATAGGATATTATATCAACTTCGTGTGTGATAACCAAAAAAATAGCAAATTATTTGTCAACGCCGTTTTTCGGTCCTGAGAACTAAATCATAAACTCGTCCATAACTTGATCTTCTAAGCTTTTCATTGTTCATTAGCGAATGGCCTTCGAATGGTAGATTTAGGCTGAAAACGAACAACTATGGCGCTGAGTCTTCATCAGTTGAATTAATTAAATGGAATCCGGTTGTTATTTTTGAGCCTAACACTTCGGTCTGTATGAAATACTAGTCAAGTTTTAGTGGGGTGGTTAGAGGCACACTGAGGTGAGCACTGGAGTGTGGTTGGACTCTTGGCCTTATACAAGTAAAGCCTGTGATTTCTTCTGGGTCAACAAATTGGTACCAGTATTCTCAAGAAGAAAAAAACACTTGCTTTATATATCGATAGACTGTCAGTCACCTCTGTGGTGTTTGATAAAGTTGGATGCACCTTCAGGGGTTGATCAGTGCCCAATGCTTCATCTTTTTATTCATTGTTGCGTGATCTGAAAGCCACGACATAATAGCCTCTCAGGGTGACTAAACTGTCTAACTAAGAACTATTTGAAATTGTTTGTATTAAATATTCGACAGTAGCCGTGAAAAAGGCATAAGACAAGTATGAATAGTTAAGCTGCAGAGAAGGCGGCAGATTAAGGAGGGTGGTAGTGAATAGAGCACCTTTAGCAAATTGTGGAAACGGACGCATAACTTATTATCGCTGTTGCATTGAAATACCTATATTGCCTTTATGGGGCAAAATTAGTTTACAAAGGTTGTTCTCATATCTATAAACGATATCACTCGCAAGTCATTTATGAATAAGGAAGATTTTTTACATTTAGTCGTTGTCTCTCGTCCATCATCAACGAAATTTGGAGATGCTGTGAAATACACGTAATGCCCTACCAGGAGTAACGTTGTTTTTAACTTTTTGAGATCGGGAAAATGATAGAAAATTTGTTCTAGGGAAAACCTTCTGTGATCCACAAAAGTTGGTGACTGTCCTTTGTGAAGAACTTTCCACACCCCACGCCTTAATACAGTTATTTCCGGGTTCAAGATTGAGCATTACTCTATGAGCATTCAGTGACATTCTTCAAAAAGACAAAACCGTTGAGTGGCAAGTGAAGCCACACACAAATTCAAATCGTTGGAAGACGGATACACGCAGCGAAAGGAAAAAAAGAGCGCTGACGATGACAGGTTACATAAATAAAATAAAACAGCTAATATAACAGAAATGATGCTGAGGTGTTTGCAAAACTCCGGACCTCTGGTGTCTGCGGTGAGGACCGAGCACTACTCTTTCCGAGGGCTAAAGCGCTCAACACCATACCATGCGAGGGACTTCGTTTCGCCTTTCAGCCATGTATTGAGCTACAGTTGCTACCAGTATTTATCCGTCGACGAAACTGATCTTGGTAGCACAAACCGGCGTTGAGCCCAGTTAAGCCGAAGCTGTAATATAAATCACTATATCGTCACTTATTAATTACTGTTTAGACTTCCTTTTAATGGAGGGTGCTATGTGGAACACAACCATATAACCATGGCGAATATTTCGCATAGGGGTGGATAGCACAGTGGTAGTGATGTCCGGCATCACGAGCATGGTATTAGTTCGATTCCGCTCCGCTTAACCAAGCCTCTTATCCCTCCGGGGTCGGGAAATTGGTACCGGATTTGTCTGGGAAAAAAGTCACTCTCTGCAATCCAATTGAGAACGCTCCAGCCAGGCTATATCAGGACTCCGGGGAGAATTGCTCGACTAGCATTCTACGACATTCAAAATGAAATGGAAATCCACAAGCAGCAGCCGAAGGCACACGTAATAGCTGGAAGATCTTCGTGGACAGTGGATGTGAGGAAACGAATAGAATGTGGGAGGTGCTAGGATCCGCACAGCAGACGTGAAGACGGATCAAGCAGAATAAAATAAATGTTTCGCATAGTGCGCTGCCATTAAAAGAAAGGGTAGGCGGTAAATAATAAGTGAAAACAACTAATAGGAGACATTATTCTGAATACTATCAGTTCCCCAATGACTTTCGCAATAAATACAACAATGTTTGCTTTTTAAGAAAAAAGAGAGTTGCCATCCCATTAGGGGAGCGCGTAGTGCAGTAATTAGAGATGACCTGCAATACAGACGTAGTCAGGTTGATCGCAATCTCAGAGTTCGCATAGGCTTCCATCCCTCCGGGCTAGGCAAATGTACAGCGGACTTGTCTGGAAGGATAGCAACATTGGTTTCACACATCATTAACCCACCGTAAGTAATTGATACTCATTAGATGACCTCTAACGATGCTTAATACAGTCCTACGCATGATCCGTTTCTCTGATTCGTTCGATAGGCTCGATCTCGAGTAGTGAAAGAGTTGGTGAACAGAGAAGCGAGGCCTGGTGGAAAAATTCCACAGAATTTCTTAGTATTCAAGAATTCCTTACCTAGGAACACTGAAAAATGCCATTTATTTTCTTTGATCTGTTATTATCATTGCTGTCGGTATCATCACGTCGAAACCACAACGTTTTAACGCTTATTCACTGCGTATTCTTCTTTTAATGGCATGGTATTATATAAAGTGCAACCAGAAGGGTTCTGAGATTGGAAGCTTGCACAGTAGTGAAAATATAAGGGAAGCTTCTAATTGGCAGTGAACCCAATTAAGCTGAGACTTTAATCGAAATTACCGTAAATTTAGATGTACGAATTTATCTTGTTTTACTGTGATTGAACAGTGATTTTCTGGAGGCGACATATACGTCTTGCACTTCATTGTTTCAAAACTTATATTTCAAACATGGAGGCAGGTGATCAAGCAGGATTTTGTAAGCAGGACATGACCATGCTTTCACTGCATGGTTTAGGTTTACCGTTGCCAATTAAACAAGTCTAAGTTTTCTTGTTATCTATTCCTTGAAGATCCTGATCGTTAGCATATTTAGATTTGAAAGCACGCTACATAAAAACTACGCAAACGATGTGCACGATAGAGCGAACTCACTTCTATAGAACTGTAAAATTCTAAACTCCCTTAAGACTTCTAAACACTTAATGACTGGGAATCTTGGTTAATTATGGAATAATATCTTTGCAAATGCTTGAATAGTAACCATTTCTACATATGTCTCTATAATTCACAAGACGTGCTAACTGCGCGTAGGATAGAGTAACAGAAAATTGTGCTTTCGAAAACCTATTTTTACTTTGTCCTAATATTTATTTTGGTTTATGATTATACCTTCTTTTCTCAAGAGTTCGTCAACTACACAAAGTATCGATGCTTCATAGAACTTTAGTAAACTGCAGGAAAGTCTGTTCTATCTCTATAACACGGCTGACAAGCTCTATCTATACCACGGCTGACAAGCTTCAATCCACACTTATAATGTCGCTTCGGGTCACCGGAGTTCTAAGTGAAGTCTTTGGAGTGTTCACAAAGTTTGCACTCCGCTCAGCTTTCTCTCGTGGTGAAGTTGATGACGTCGTGAAACTGTTCGGTGCCACCATTTCACCCTCTTTGTATTCGGTGCCACTAAAATACTTAGGCCTTAAGCGTCTTATATCATTCGAAACACTACTGCAACGTTTATACTTGTAGGCAATAAAATAGGAAAAAGATATTAAACAATGAGAGTAAAACTGATGTTGCCATAATTGGGAAGAAACAAACTCTGCCTTCCATTCGTTACAGTCGTCGAACTGACAGCAACAGAATGTCTCGTACTCTGACTGCCAATGACAGCCACTCATCTAAAGTAAAGTGCCGCTAAGGAATGACACGATAGGATTTGCGTCACAGGTTTTTTCTTTAATTTACAACAAGGATAAGGTTGGTCTATCTACAAGTTCATACTACTCAGAAAACCACCCAGATTTCGTATGAATTTAAAAAGACGGGTTCTTGAGAGATCTAGCGGTATCACTGGTGCCACAAAAAATCTATGGCTGACCGAAATAATGAACATAGTTTATTGTTGCTGAGATATTTGCAAAACTATGGACCGCAGGTCTCTATGGTGGGGAACGAACGCGCTATTGTCCTTTCTGGGGAGTAACGCGTTCACCACCACACCATGCTGGTCCTTTGTTTCGTCTGTCTCTCAGCTGTTTCTATCGATCTTTGCCACAGCAATCACCCGTCAGCGGGATTCGATAGAAATAGCTGAGAGACAGGCAAAACAAAGGACCCGCATGGTGTGGTGGTGAACGCGTTACTCCCCAGAAAGGACAATAGCGCGTTCGTTCCCCACCATAGAGACCTGCGGCCCAGAGTTTTGCAAATATCTCAGCAACGTTGTGGTTGTATTTCGCTTAGTACCCTGCCGCGAAATTATAGTAGGCAGGAAATAAAAAGGTGTAACATAGTTTATTGTATTAACATTTTATTGCGATGCCTTGTGATATAGAAATCATAGGAAACATACCGGACATTTCTCTTCAATGTTATGCTCATCTGAAAATGAACTGCACTCACGGCGAATTTGGTTTTTCTTCTTGTCAATCCTTTGGATACAGTAATTTGAGATAGCACTGCAGGACTGAAAACAATTAACAAGATAGGAAAGGACTTCAAAGGTAAGTCGGTGCCTTTAGACGTTTAGGCAATATGTGGTTCCAAACCAAGTAAGTTGGGAGTTAGTTGGCCGTCATTCAATATTTGTGAATTATTTTTAACGTTCACAAATTTTGTTGACAATTCACGAGTTTGAAAACTTCCACAATTCGGGATGCAGAATGGTGGTGAATGTCTGGTTTGCTGTTATTGATGTTCTTGAGAATGGATTCAAAGAAATAGTTATAGCGTTTGCTCATTAGATGGTCTAGAGCTTGATTTATTTTCCAGAAGAAGTTTATTTGGAGATAAGAAATAAGTTGTTTAGGTTAAGGTGAATGAAACAACCGTTTAATATAGTCTAAAAAGCGATTTCTGACCGAGTAGTACGTGATGCATAACGAGCTAATGACAGACTATCCAGGCCAAATTCTAAAATCTAGGGTGGAAAATGTCACTTGCCAAGACTGCAGATGTTATATAGTACCATTTCACTGGTAAATCTATCGGTTTAGGGTTTCTGCAACAATTCTGCTACAAGAAAGCGCGAAAGCCAAGAATGAGATGAGGATTGGTATCGTGAACTTGTACCTGTGAACTAAGAAATTTGCAATAAAAATGTATCAAGGCGCTATCGCATTGACTGGAGATGAAGTTGGATAAAGAACATAGTTCATTTGAGTCTCCACGATTGGAACAGTTTCAAATTCAATAGCTCTTTTTCGAGAGGAGTCTTTTAGAACTACAATTTAATGCCCTTCTGTCAAAAATTTGGTTAAGCCGTCGTTAGGTGTTATGAATTAGCCTGATAGCTTACTAGAGCGTAGTATAGTTTCGAGGCAGACAGCCACAAACATACAACGTGCATGGAAATGAACGAATTCAGTATTATATCTGTGGTTCATTTGAAAAGGGATTTCTTATTTTTTACCAGATTTCAATTAAGAAATTAAAGTAACTCTGTGATTTTTTGCAAAGATTTTCAACCTAACAACCTTTTCATCTGTTTTGGCATTATTGGTTAACCCTTGAAGAGTTCCCTCGTAGCACCTCAATGAGAGACCAGTGCCGACAAAAACCATCATCAAAATTACGCTCCACATTCTGAAATGCTTGATTTTCAAGGAAGAATTATCTCTTATCCTTTCAAGAAGCATTGATAACGGACATTTGTGCAAGTAGCTCTTTACTTTTTCTGACTTCGAAGAAAGTAACGTACGAGACGTTAGCATTTGCCGACCAACATGCATAAGTTCGAAAACGAGCTTCTAGTTCTGCTGAATATCGGTGATGGGAAAAATTCTAAACTATGTGAAATAGAGGAGAAAAGTTCACTTTTTCGAAAGAAGGTACTAAGGTACGCATCGTAACACAGACGTCAGTGAATTTCTAATTTAATACCACATCATCTTCTTCTATGGGGCAAACAAAGGCAAAGAGTAGGGTTCATCGGGTTCTTTCACCTTCGAAAGAAGACAACTAGTTAGTTAGGGATAACCTGAAAAATACACGTGCTCGTAAGCCCGATTCCGAGCCTCGGTCAACTAGGTTTTCAACCTTGCAAAATCGAAAAAGTGATACCAGATTTGTTCAAGATGATAAGAAAAACTTTTTATTCACCACCACACCAGAATTCGGTCACGTGTTCGATACTTAAAAGATCGGAATCAATCCCTCAAGGTTTAATCAACGACGAACGATTTGCCTTTACGCTTCTCGTTTCTTCATTCATTGACAATGTTTATTTCCATATCACTTCCTTCGAAAAAACATAGTAATGACAGAGTAAAAGATTGAAATTATGATATTTAACTGAAAGTTTAGAATGTATGCTATGGTTAGAAATAAGCACATTTGCTCTGGAAAGGAGATTTAATGATAAAATGCTATTTTGCACCATTGTGGAAGAGTGGGCAACAACATAGAAAGTAATCAAAATTTCCATGACGAAAAAGAAAATTGCAGGATTTGGTCTAAAACACATGGGAAATATCTTGTACACTATCCCCTGCACTTTACTCGGCGCTGGACAACTGACATCAGACTCAAAAACCATCTTCATGAAGCAACACGATCATGAATTGGAAGGATACTGACAATATCTTTCAACTAGAGGTTTGCCTGTGTGCTTGTGACGAGAAATTCTATATCCACTTAACATCGATTGATTTCAACCACGAATCAGAAAATTCAATCCCAAACACACCAATTTAATGGTTTCAATTTGTCGATGTTCAATGAAGAATTTTAACCAAACGAGTGACTAAGGTCCTTCCAGAGAAACTGGCTTTAGTTCTCACTAACACTCTAACGGCGACGTCTAATCTTGGGTTTGTTGCGGATTGGACGAGACCTCACTTTAGCCTCAATGGACTTGCTGGTTTCTTGAAAATAAATCATAATTTCCTGATCACTAGAGGAATTCGGCCGTTGTGAACATGGTGGCCCGTACAAGGGTTTGTTCTGTCGTTCTATAGGTATGAATATTTTCTCGTGCTATTTACTGCATGTTACTGTGGACCCTCATACAATCACATTACTAACGGCATTTGAAAGTGTTTTACAATTTATAAATCTTTGCTTCAGCACTTTTTCGAACCAACACACTTCATAAAATAACTGTCGCTCATTATTGCAATTAGAATTGAAACAATAGTCAATTAGGACTTAAATTTCTAGTTAGTGAATTCATTCGGAAAATGGTTTTTTAAATTTCTGAGTGCAGAATAGAGCTCTTCTCGAACAATGCTCAACGTAACACTTATGTTCTATAAGCCATCAACTGGTAATAAAAGCTTTAAAAAATAGCTCCGTATATTATAATAAACTACCGGAAAGGAAAGGAGATCTATATCTGCATTACCGACAACTCCCGCTAAACCATTGTGACACCTTGCACATGGTCGCGAAAGTGTTAACAAAATACAACCACAACGATGCTGAGATAACTCGTATATAATGCTGAGATATTTGCAAAACTCCGGATCGCAGGTGTATGCGGTGGAGAGCGAACGCGCTGTTGTCCTTACCGGTAAGGTGTCCTTGTAAGAGTTATATTTCGCAACATACCCTGCCATTAAAAAAAAAGCAGTAAATAAAAGGGTTAAGATGATGATGCTGAGATATTTACAAAACTTCGGACTGCAGGTGTCTGCGGTTGGGAACAAACCCGCTATCACGCTTTCCGGGGGTTAGCACGTTCACCACTACGCCATGGGGTCCATCGTTTCGTCTGTCTCTCAGCTAGTTCTATCGACCACTGCTATCAGCAATCACCTGTCAACGGGATTAAACCCGGAAAGGGTAATAGCGCTTTCGATCGCCACCGCAGGCACCTGTGATCCGGAGTTTTGAAAATATCTCGGCATCGTTGTAGTTGTATTTCGCAAAATACTCTGCTGTAGAAATTGTAGTAGGCAGGAAATAAAAAGGAAAGATTGTTAACAAAATCTTCAATGCGTGGGCGAGAGCTACTCATTGACGTTCTATGCATTATTGTAGACATTTTAAAGGATAAAATATCTCGAGTCAATAGCCTACTGCTGGAAAGATGTGGAGCAGGTCATGTCTTGAGGCAGACAAACGCAGAGTGCGAATCACTGACGGCCAACGTAGCAGGATTCCACTCAATTACAGTGTAAAGCTGATAGGCATGTGAGAAACAGATGTTTTCGTTGTTGATCTTACCTCCAGCTGTTTGCTCCTAACCTGTTAGAAAGATCGGAAACGCTATAGCATATGACTACAGACATATTCAAGAATCAATTTTTGCGGCAATGAAGCTCCGGAAATGTCCTAGTAATTTCATGCACGAATTATTCGATTTTTAAGATGACAATAAATTTTCCCATGCAATTGTGTTTACATGAGAAAAATACCTGAAAGATTTCTGCAAAATAAATCCCATAAAAGCCCTATCCTGAAAAAAAAAATCTCTTCACCAAGAGGAATCGGCTTACATCGCGCATTAGCCTAGTGGTCGGGTGAATAATCGCCCTCAGGAAGAATCCGAGTCTCACCGCTGCAATTTTGAAGCGCACTCGAACAGCACCCCGCATGTCAATGCGGAGAAAAGTCCATAGAGGCTTAAATTTCAGCGAAGTTGGCAACCAAGCCCGAAGTGAAGAGGATCTGAAACCAGCACGATAGACCAAGACAGATAACCCAAGCATGTAAACTAGGCAGCTACGAATGTACTCTAGTTGTTTAGTTAGTAGGCTTTCATAAAGAGATAAAAGGATAAAGCTCTTGGCGTTGAACAATCACCGAGGGACGCACCATGCGTTCGAGTTCATAATGCAGCGTTGGAGATGGACACCTATACAATGACTCATAATGGTCTACTGATGTGTTAAGTCACTGGTGCTATCATCCCAGAGAGGTCTCGTACTAATTTGCCGATTCCATAAAGATGGCAGACTTGATGCGCCTGGAGCACGGGGTCGGTTCTATGTGCTTTGCAGGTCACCTGAAACTACTTTTCTACACGCGTCGCGCCCATATAGAAAGCGTTGGGTAACACATGACACCACGGAAACGGTAACCGCGGGCTCGAACAGCACCGTGGGTTCCGAGTTTTGCTCATGCCTCAGCATCATTGTGGTTGTATTTCACATTATGCCTTACCATGGAAAAAACTACGGGCAGTGAATAAAAGATAAACAAAGACGATGAATTTCGTAGATATGACGATTTCCTATGAAGCAAGCCAAACACTTGCTCTTCGGATTTGCTCACCACAGAGAAACCTTACAACCCTTATTTCCCTTAAACAAACCGTTAGCAAAAAAAAGAAAAAACGAAATATAGCGAAGCAACATAGACGATAAGAAAGAATTTATTTACTTATACATAAAAAATTGAACAAAGCAAAAAAATTGTTGTTAGAGAAAAGTATTGTACTCTCGACAAAATTGCTCCAACGCAGTCAGGCGGCACTTGAAACTTTTTGAGGTCTTCTACAAATAAAAATAACAGTTTACTGTTAATGAAGAATATATATATACATGCATATGTATTCATAATTTTATACACGCGTTAGGTTATTCGGAAATTAATGCAGTTGGTTAACTTGTAATTCTAATTTTACTGTGTATATCTCAGCAATTCCGTGCGGACCCGCGCCCATGGCCCACCAAGCCTTTCATCCGTCCGAGGTCGGCAAATTGGTACCAGACTTGCCTGAGAGGATAGCAGCACTGGCTCGATACATCGGTAGGCCACCGCAAGTCATTGTAAAAGCCAGATATGCATTCAGTCACCTTCAACGATGCTTAATGAAGTCGGATGCATGGCGAATCCCTAAAGGATTGATCTACGCCGAGAACATTATCCATTATCCCTTACATTTCACCAACAGTTTTTATTGCATGCCGTGATCTTATGCATCAATACAAACTTTACCTTAAGCAATTTCACTCTATGCAATTAAATTGTGATAGAAAGTACATTTTCAGCGAATTTTACAGGGTAGAAAAATAAGACGTCAAAGCGGCAATTTCGACAAAGTTACTTTCGCAATGTAGTCAGTTTTTATGTACAGCCTATTCTTTTTCACGGCAAGTTGTGATGTGAAATACAACCACAGTTATGCTGAGATATTTGCAAAACTCCGAACGGCAGGTGTCTGTGGTGGATATCGCATTCGCTGTTACCCTTTCCGAGGGCTAAAGTGTTCCTCACCATGCTGGTCCTTCGTTTCACCTTTTTTTCAGCCGTGTTCTAACCTATCGCTGCATCACGTTTAATGTTACAAATTCAGCTTAACTAGGTTCAATGCTGATTTGTGCTTCGCAGTTCAATCCCGCTGACGGTCTACAGATTAAAACACGGTTGAGAGAATGGCGGAATGATGGACCTGCATGGCGTGGTGGTGAACCCGTTAGCCACCGGAAAAGGTAATAGCGAGTTCGATTTCCACCACAGACAGCTGCGGTCCGAAGTTTTGCAAATATCTCAGCATCGTTGTAGTTGTATTTCAAAACTCTCCTTTGTTGTGAAAAGGTGACGGAGCAGACTCCATAGAGGCGATATGTGGTTCCGGTTTGGCAAAGTCAATTTCATTGGAGCAATGTTCTATTCCAAAAGATTCGACGCGATGCTACTTCGAAGAGAGGACCCAAATCGTAAGAACGAACGGCTGTGAACCATCGTCTTCAACCAATTCGGTTAATCCGGAAAGAAGATAAAAGCGTCAAAACGTTTGCCCAACGAACGATCTTCCAACAATTTAGCGTTAGCTTAATAACCTAAGAAAATATTACTTTTATGAAGTCAAACTCGGTCGTAGCGCAGTGCAAACGGAACGAAACATTTACTGTAGAAGTGGTCAAACAAGTGTTAGCGAACACACAGTGTGGCGTTGGCTTAGAAAATTCCATCGTAGCGAATTCGACCGTGAATCTAGAGGAAATCACGGACGCCCTTATCCTGTTGACGAAGATGAATTTAAGACTTTGTTGGAGGCAAATACATGCACAACTGCTCGAAAAGTTGCAAAAAAACTTACTGCAAGCAGTAAAACTGTTGGAGAGCATTTTTAAAAAATGGGTAGTCAAAGAAGATCGACAATTGAATGCCGTTATAATTGAATAAAACTTTTAAGAAGACCGCCGTCTTGGAGTGCCGTCGGTGCTCCTTCGCAGTAAAAACGATCCCTTCTCGACAGTATTGTCATGTGCGACGAAAAACGGATTATCTTTGACAACCCGTGACGACGAAGCTCAGCGGCACTTCACAAAGACGAAATTGCACCAAAAGAAGGTCATAATGACGGTTCGGTGGTCTGCCGCTGGTTTGATTCATCCTAGTTTCTTGAATACGGATGAAAAGACTGCAACGAAAAATCACTACCAGAAAATTGACGGCATGCACCACAAACTTCAATGTTAGGGCAAAGCGTTGGTGAGAAGAAAAGGACAAATCTTTCTTTACGATAACACGCGGCCACATGTCGCACTACAGACGCTTCAAAAATTGAGCGATCTAGGCTACGAAACTCTGCCTCATCAACTATACTCGCCAGATCCCTCGCCTTCCGGATCTCACTTTCTCTGCCATATTGGTAATTTATTATGCAAGACATTGTTAAGAAACTATTCGAATGCCGAAATCGAAATCGAAATCGCTTGCGAAATCGCTTTGAACAAATTCATCGCCTTCAGGTCCTCAGAGTTGTATTAACCAGGATGTATAAACTTGTTCATTATAAGCAGACTTTCATCTAACCTCGTGTATAAATGATCAATGTACCTTATTTCATTGATAGGCTAACACGAGGTCTTTAATAAATATTTATCCAACTAACGTTGCGACGTCTTTGTCTTCCTCAAAACCGATGATCCGAGTCGATGGTCCACAGTCGTTCGTCCGTCCTATCGATGTGGAGTCTTTGTCGTCGTATCGAGTCAGATATTCTTTAGTGGAGCACCGTTTGTAAAAGGCAACCTCAAAAGACAGTACTCCTTTATACAGAGAGGCTGTTGTTAATAATGACTATGCGCTGACAAGGTCGGGTTGCCTCATTCGAACGGTATTCCTCTGAAGAAGATTGTACTTGACACGATGATGAAAACACCTCATCGAGAAGACGAACGACTGTGGACCATCGACTCGGATCATCGATTCTGAAAAAGTTAAAGACGTCGAGGCTTTGGCCAAATAAATATGTGGCAGCAAACTTGTTTGTCGTTACAAAAATTGGTGGGTTCCATGTTTGAGATGCATCATTTTACAGGAAAAATTTAGAATCATGCACTAATTTCCGAACAACCTAGTACGTAAAGGATACGTGTGACATGAAAGTATGCTAGTACCTTAAACCTTTCGTAGCTAACGTTTACACTGTTTTCCAGCGCAGAAAGGACGCTTCGAATCGCAACCAGTCGCTCCTCCAGTGACGACCCTTCGAAATCACCAATTTCCGTAGTCACGGCTTCGTCGAATAATTCACCAGCTTCGTGTTGCATTAACTCCGCTATAAAGAGAACCGATAAGAAGAATGAAGTCATGTGTGTGTAGATGTGAATAACTAAGGAGATCGAAACAAATTGTCTACCTGCGTTTCCAAGTATTGCCGAATCAAAAAAGGATTACTAATTTTCTTTTTTCTCTTTTCTAATTTTCACCATTATCTCAAAAAAAGTGAAGCAGTGAGTACCTTGAGTCCTTACACTTTCTCGACACTGAGGATAGTCCGAAAGCACTCGTAACAAATCGTCTCGAAACAGTATGTACGCCTGATAAAGTATGTGGTGACTGTCATAAGATAGAAACGTAGCACTTTTTTGCAAAAGTCTTTCACCTACGAATTGTCTCGTTGCCGTGCAAGCGATGTTACACTGGGTGTCGAACGGCAATGCCATTCCCAAACAGAAAAAGAAAAGCAGGAAAGATACCATACATTTTAACATGGCTATCTAACTAAGATTAAATCAATTGCCGTCGTAATTGCGAAAAATACATACACGGCTGAAAATCACGGCTCGACATGGACGGCAGCAGACTGTGGTGGGGGTTTAAAGTTCCCTGCATGACTATATAGCAGCTAGGATACCGTTCATGTGTATTCAAACATATAACTTAGAAGAACTTGTTAGAAGAAAATGATAAGAAATGAAGCCTTTGGGGATGCAAATGTATTTGATTTACTAAGCACCATTAGAAGTGAGTGAATGCATATCTGGCCACTACAATGACTCGCGGAAGCCTACCTATGTATCGAGCGAAAGGTCCTCCCAGAAAGGCCTGGTAACAATTTGCCGACCCCGACGGGATGGAAGGTTTGGAGGGCCAGAGGTGCTCGCGTCGATTCCATGTATATTGCAAGGCGTTTTCGAGCACTGCGCCGCACGTGGCCATGTAGTTCACAATAGCGAGTTTGAAACCATAAATTCTCTAACCTTAGATGAAAATTACGATGGACAGCAAATGAGTTCTACAGAGGCACAACTTTTTTCGAACAAATATGTCAAATATCGCCCTATATTATTGAGCTGAGAGGAGCTTGGTGAAAAAATGTTCATCCGTTGTAAAAATATTCATTCAGCTAAGATTTTGATGTCTTGGAATTCTTCAGTGACGTGTTGATGGTCCACAGGTGTAAAGCAACGCTCCGCTATATGTCGGCTAATAAAATGGCGCATGCTGCGCAATTCACTAATTACTTGGACACTTGGATGGCCCGTCTCCACTACCGGCGAAACGGGAGCCCTGCATAATTTCCATGCACTTCTCACTCGCGCACTCGTCATCTTTGAAGGCCGTTTACCACGAAATTTTTTGATTTCTGAAACTTCCAAAAGCATTTCTACCTGCAAAAGCAAATAGTTGACGTTAACCGCGAATATGTCCACCCATCACCCGTATGGTCTTCAAAGAAGAGGCTAGCATTCTCTCGAAGGCTATTCCACTGTTCTTTTCATCGCTCTGTGATCTGCTCTTCTGATTGTATGACCGGTATACCTGTGTTTCACTGTCGATGTATATCTTCCTAGATACCGAAAATGGGATAAGTTGCGAAAATCTGAGTAGCGCAATTCGGCTAGACGTTGTGAGCGCCGGTTAAATTTCAGAAGACGTCGTTCAAGAGCTCTGTAGGTGGTGCGTAGATTTCTTGCATGGTTGTGTTACCATCCCATATCTCTGCTACATAAAGCGCTAAAAAGACTGCTAAACTGGAGAGGTGAGCACGGACTGATGGGTCCGTTACCTGCTCGGTCGCCTCTTTGAGAACTCCGAATGCGGCTCCTGCTGCTCTCTTTCACGTATATTTGACGGTTGTTACGAAGATTCCTTCCATCACCTTTCATGGGTACGGTAACTGTGATCGACTTCCTTTACTGATGTGGGATTTTCTCTTTCTATGGGCAAGATATGGTTGCCAGAAGTATATGGTATCTGTGGCTACCAGCTCTAAGGACAACAGCGGTGATATCTTCAGCTCCTGCAAATGTGCGTCTCTTCATATTTTCTATCACAAGTCGAACTTCAAAGAATAGAATCCCGTGCGATTTCTCACTAACGGAGACTCAGAAGTCCGAGAAAAAGGTCATAGAGCGAAAAAGATGGTACAAAACTTTTCCATTACATGTTCCATCATAAAGGGATGTAGTGACACTCCCATCTTCGTTAATCAGGGCAGCCTGCGGAACGTTACAGTCGCAAAGAGCCCGAGGCAGTTCATCTCAACAGAGTAGGTGGTTCTTGGGCTGCTTCCAATAATTTTCTGCCTATATCGAGGTAAATTTTTTGTCAGGATGTTATACAGCCGGCATTTACTTTAGTTTTAGCCGTTAGCTGCGTTGCGGTAGGATCAAGCTTCAGTTCCCTTCTTTTGTCGTAGCTCCTTGGTAGCAGTGTAGACGCAGTCCAAACTTCTTGTTTGAGAAGTTGGCAAGTTCCGTACAAGTTTTAGGTGGTTCGATAAACAGCTTGTAATCCTCGGTCGAGTCTTAATTTAGCAGTAATATGAGGAGAAGGTTTTATTGAGGACGTCCTCGCCATACGTGACTTGTTTCGTTTTCCTTGGACGTTAACAGGAATTTTTTTTCGGCTAGTGGCTGAATCGAATTCTCTCACAGAGAAGCCGATGAATAGATCCTGCACAAAATTCAGATACCATTGAGGTCTCATAAAGGCACCACTTTCTGTCCGTGGCAAGATTATCGGTCTTCCATAGGTCGTACTGTTGGGTGACTCCTATGTCCATCGGCGATTATCTCTCTTCTCAAGAAGCGAATTTCCGTGGAAGAGACGTATTGCAGACAAGAATCCTAAGAGACGGCTTCCATTCTCATTTCGTTCTCATGTTCCGAATCTCTCTATCGTGTGTTTTTTTCCGTTAGCCATTCCTTATCTGGTGTTGAAGTCACCAACAACAAACTTATAAAAAGATCCATTGAAACTTACTTCCTCCAATTACTGTAAAACGTGTCCAGCGCCCTCTCATGAGCTGTGCAAGTTGGTGAGTAGCAGATGACGGTGCTTTCTTTTGGCGTGGTAGTTGGAGAGGAAGGAAGGTCAAACGCAATCATAGGATTTCGTATGAAGTCACTAAATGGGAGATAGATGGTTGCATAATAAAACCAGCGCCTCCAACAGTTCGTAACGAAAATTCCTTTCGACGCCTGACAAGAATTCCGTTACCTAACCTACGTATCTTCGTGTTCCTGCTTTTCGCCACCTGCAGGGCTAGCACATGGAATTTAGTGCGATTAGCAGCCTCAAGAACAGCGTAAACGTCGGCAGCTGGACAGACTGTTCTGGTATTCCGATGTTTTTCTTCAATAAGCAGACACTAGGTTGTTATTATAGAATTTATTAGGATAGAATAGCTGACGTTTTGGCGGTTTCGTCTTCTTCAGAGACTAGAAAGGTCAAATTGAGATGCGATCTACCCAGCCAAACACTTTCATTATCTGGTATTACAGGTGAAGAGCAAGAAACAGCCTCCATGGAATGTCGTAGCCGTGCTCGCCTTGTCTGTTCCTAATGATGCCTTGTGCAACTTGAGATTTGATCTCCGCTCACCGGCAGTCCTACTACCCGACGTCGTAGACGGGAGCAACCTGTGTGCCGCGTACTGAAGCTGAGGTGTTGTTGAATGAGCCATTACCGTTTCTTGGAGTACGGTCGTCAGCATAGCCGAAGCGTCGCTCAGGTCATCACCACCACAAGAGGCCGCATGTCCTTGTGGATCAGAGGCAGATTTGTCACATTGCAATTAATTTGATGCAAAGACTACAGTAGTTCCTGCTGTTGATTTAGTCTTAGATGGGGTTCCAAATGAAAATGTTGGATTCCTTCTTAGCATGAGAGACTCTACTAAGTGGGGGGAGTTAACCCCATATCGGTAGTCTGAGATCCATTAACAACTCTCAGCTACGATGCGGCGGTAAACTTTTGGGAGCAAGGGTGCATCGCATATTAGCTACCGGTTTTGTATAGGACGCCTATTGAACTAGATATAGTTCGACACATGTGCTACACAAAACCGTACCGCCAAACGAAGTATCTTCATCGCCAGCAGTGCTCCACTCGAAAACTTCGATGCCTCTAAGGAAGGCGAAAACATCGAAACATTAGCAGTGTAAATATTTTTATACTAACCTCGCTTCGGTTCACTAATTTGGAAGAGTATTGGTATTCTTAAAGAGGTTTAATGGAAGTTGGTTTTTAAGATATTACAAAATGGTATAACTCAGAGGAAATCCGATACTTCCTTGGAATGGAAGTAGTCCTTGTGTCATAGACATGTTCCAGGAAAAATTAGAATATAAATACATTTAAAAATGTGACATGCTACGTAAAAAAGAAGAGCAGGCACTAAGAAATAACCTATTTATAGGGTTCACAGATTCACAGCAGCAACGAACTTTTCTTCGTAGGCATAAAACACCTAGCCAAAGCGAAATTCATCTTCCAGTCGGAAATTGCTGACCTTTTCAGATATTCAACTTTACGGAAAAATCGAACATCTGTGCAAGGTTAGATTAAACGCGTCGCATTCCTAGTTAACTACAGAAAAATACTTGCTGACGAGAAAGTACAAAGACTCACACTTTACGCAAAATTAACCATTCATAATCGCACCGACAATTTTTGCTGAACCTTTATTTCAATCACTCTCATCAACCCACAACCCACAGATGGCTGAGTCAGACATCGGATGAGATGGAAATCGCCAAGAGGCGATAAAATGGCTTAAGCAGCATGATTCAGGATGCAAGTGCTGAATTCCGGAAAACTTGTACAGACTGCCATCTATTTTGAAAATTCTCTGCAGGTTACACAAAAACCTTTTTCTCCTAAAATAACCGATCACAAAATCAACCATCGCCATTCGACACCCAGAAAATGGATTCAGATCGAATGGGTCATATCCCGTCACTTTACACTTCATTTTTGTACAGGATAAATTTTTCCTGTTAGGGCAATGAAGGACAAGCACTGTACCCAATTGTCAGTAAAAATAGAAAATACGAAACAAAAGTTGTAGTAAGAAGTTGTTGATTATGTAGTTACCATAGAGTTTTTCGTCTTTTTGTAAGTGTCATTGAAGCGTTTGGCCTAGTAGATTGTATATCAGCATACCCTTCCAGGCTCTGAAGAAGGCGATACTGCCGAAACGTCAGCTAGCGTTGTACTGTATTGTGTTTTTATGGAAGTAAATGTACGCTGTTTAAAAACCTCGCGATTGCTGAACAAGAAAACGACGCATTCATATTCCAATACCAAGGTTAATAGAAAGTCGATCCTGGGAACTATTAAAAGTTGTAGTGTATACGAAATAAATACCTGTGAATATCCAATGGATATCACGTCGTATTTCTTTCGGTTTTCGTAGCAATTATTCGAAAACCAG